TGTTTTGACGATGTAATAGAAGTCGATCTAGTATTGGAAGGTGTGCCTCCATTAAGTATTCAGTATGAGCGACAAGTGAACGATGCTGCGGTAAACATGACAATAGACGGAATTAGCTCAAATTATTATACATCACCACCGATTCAATCAGATCAAGCCATGATCTTAGCAGCGTCCAACGATTACCAATGGGCTCGAGATCAGGTTATTCACGTACCATTAAACATTACTGCTGACGTTGTCGCGGATTATTCCTTGAAAGTTCGTCAGATTCAGGATGTTCTGAATAATACGCGTTTTTATGATAATGAGAAATCCTTAAATGCAATGATAAATTTTTCGGTATACTCGCGACCCACTGCATGCTTCTTTTCGGATTCTCCTGTTCACATTCGTCCCGGTCGAATTGCAAATATTGCGATAGACGTAAGAGGCAAAGGTTAGTTATTCTGAAATAAAATTTTAACCTTAGACATTATTTATGTTGAAAGATGATTTTTTATTTTATTTTTATTTTTTACAATAAGGACCTTGGAAGATTAATGTAGAATATTGGTCTGAAGAGGCTACGGAAGGAAAACCAAGTGAAATATTCGAGGTCACAGTTGATCTTCAAAGTGAGAATGGTAGATATATGAGTATCAGTAGGCCTGGAATCTACAAGTTATTATCTGTTTCAGACTCTAAATGTGCTGGTCAGATTCTGGCACCTTCATCAAAATCATTGTCCATTGCTCATCCGCCAACCGTCAAAATGGAAGCCAATCCCATACCTGCAGAAAATTGCCCTGGAGAAATTGGTGTTGAAATAATTATATCACTAACAGGAATTCCTCCATGGTAATTAAAGTGATCTATTATTATTATTTGCATGACTGATCATCGCATTTAACTCAATGTACATAATTTATGGTATTACAGGCATATTGAATATAAATTGGTTAGTCGTAATGGAGAGAAACGTGATTTCGCGAAAATAGAAAAGTCAAGGCATTCGTTGGTTATAAAGCCCGAAAAATCGGGAAACTATGAGTACATATTTTATCGCCTGTCTGATTACATCTATACTGAAGGTGTCAGTATAGATCATAGGTTTACACAGACTGTTCATCCTATGCCTCACGCCATATTTCGAGGAGTGAAAAATCCAATATTGAACAGTTGTGTCGGAAGTCGCGTCGACTTAGAGGTCGATTTTTCTGGGACGGGACCGTTCACATTGATGTAAGTAAATTCATTGTAGGCTTTTTATGTTATCTCACTTCATGCTGAATATGTATAATTTTCATTATCGTTAGATATGACGTGGTCTTTAATCGAAGAACCAATGCATTCACAATTGCTGACATTCAAGGGCCCAGTCATGTTATTACTTCGCCACCTTTTGACAATCAAGGATTATATACTGTAACGTTAGTGAAGATTTTGGATTCGAAAGGGTGTAGTCGGATACTCAGTTCATCCGATTATTTTACCATAAATGTCAAAAAAGACAAGCCTACAGCTGGATTTAGATCTGCACATGAAGTAATCTCATTTCTTGAGGGCAAGTCTGTTAAATTGCCCTTGCAGTTGACTGGTCATGCTCCTTGGAACATCACTTATCGTTATATTGGAGATGATAAAGTTCGACATGTGCATGACTTACAAAATCCTAATTCTTACTTGGTTGAAGAAAAACCTGGCCGTTACGAGTTATTGGAAGTTAAAGATTCATTTTGTCATGGATTGATAATCCCTGAGCTAAAGGAAATCGAGGCTAGATGGTATCCTCGACCATCATTGAGAATAGCCGACGGTGAAGCGGAACTATTACCGCAAAAAGGATATCGTAGAAGGCACGTCTGTGAGGGAATTGAAGACACCATCGGTTTAATTTTGGAAGGTCGAGCGCCTTGGTCGATCTATTATACTATAGTTACAAGTAACGAACAAACGTCACATCAACAAAGAATTGGCTTTCCTACCACCAGAATACGGCTTATGACCGAGAAGCCTGGTCGATATCTTTACAACTTTTCTAGTATAGCAGATGATGTCTATACTGATCCTAGTCCTGTCACCCTTACGCTCGAGCAGGCAGTCGTGGAGAAACCAGCTGCCCAATTTTTGACTTCAGATATAATTTATCACTGTGTCGGAAATTCTTTTATTGATCCTATTGATATCAAGATAAATGGCGTTCCTCCCTTTGTTCTACAATTCGAAATCACTCATGAAAGCAGCAATCAGATAGATACCTTGAAGATTGAAAACATTTACGATACACATTATCATTTTTACCCTCAAAATAAATTCACCATTATTGGAAAATATGTAATCTCAATAGTTCACATTATGGATTCTCAGGGTTGTAGTAATAGCATGATGCAGGATAAGTCTAGTAAACTAATTATTCAAGTTACGGATGTTGCGTCCATTGAAAGGGCATTCACTCCACAAATACATTGCGTTGGTGATCTATTGGATTATTCTTTGCAAGGTATTAAATTTTTTTGAATTAATGTTCTCTCTTAACGTCACAAAATTTTAAGTTTGAAATTGTAAATCTGATTCCAGGAATATCACCGTGGCATATTACTTACGAATACAACGGGGAAATGAAATCGGCAATTTCTAAATTGCATACTTTTACATTTGGCGCCGATAAACCTGGAAATATGACTCTTACTAGAATTTGTCATCAAAAAAATCAATGTTGTGGACGTGTAAATTTGACTGAAATAAT